ATAAATGGGATGGATTCAAACTAAAAAGTGTCCTATCAACAAAAGAAACAATCAATGAGGTGAAGAGAGAGCTTACATTTTGGGAGCAATTTTTTGCCACACGCACATCAGATAGAGCACTAACCTCCAGGATATATAAAGAACTCAAAAAACTTGTACTAAGGACCTTAACAGACACTTATCAGAAGATATAAAATCAGTCAACAAATATATGAAAAAAATGTTCATCATCTCTAGCAATTAGGGAAATGCAAATCAAAACTACTCTAAGATTTCATCTCTCATGTCAGTGAGAATGGCAGTTATCAAGAATACAAATAACAATAAGTGTTGGCGAGGATGTGAAGGAAAAGGCACGCTCATTCTTTGATAGTGGGACTGCAAATTGGTGCAACCAATCTGGAAAGCACTATGAAGATTCCTTAGAAAGCTTGGAATGGAACCACCATTTGACCCAGCTATCCCACTCTCCAGTCTATAACCAAAGGACTTAAAAACAGCATACTATAGGGACACAGCCCCGTCAATGTTTATAGCTGCACAATTCATAACAGCTAAACTGTGGAACCAACCTAGATGCCCTTCAATAGATGATGAATGGATACAGAAACTGTGGTATATATACACAATGGAATATTACTCAGCATTAAAAGAGAATAAAATTATGGCATTTTCAGGTAAATGGATGGAGTTGGAGAATATCATGCTAAGCAAAGTAAGTCAATCCCAAAAAACCAAAAGCCAAATATTCTCTCTGATAAGTGGATACTGATCCATAATGGGGTGGCAGGGCATGGGGCGAATGAAGGAACTTTGGGCCAAGGGGATGGATGGAAGGAGAGGAGGCTTGGGGTAGGAAAGATGATGGAATAAGACAAACATCATTACCTTATGTACATGTATGACTGCACATGTGGTGCAACTCTATATGGTGTACAACCAGAGAAATGAAACACCTAATGATCTTATTAAAATGCTGGTTCTGATTCAGTAAGTCTGGAGTAGGACTGAGATTCTGCAGTTTTAAGAGAGTCTCAAGGGATTTCATTGCTGCTAGTCTAGCTCAACAACAACAACAACAACAAAAGTATAATTGGAACATAGGCTTGAGACACAGGCTGTGAAAATGAGCTGAAATGGTCCATCAGGACTAGATCCTGAGAGTCTGTACTAAGGTGTTTGAACTTGATCCTGGACTTTATATTTGAGGGCATTAAGAAGCCACTGACTGGTCCTTAGGCAAAAAGTGATAAAATCAGATTGCATTTTAGAAAGATCACTGGCTGCCCTGATAGAGAGAGGTCAAAACTGAGGGTGAGGGGCCAATGGTAGAGCATGTGCTTAGCATGCACAAAGACCTGGTTTCCATTCCCCAGCACTGTAGAGTCCTGTAAATTCTGTGGGTTGAGAGATAGCAAAAAAGGGGGAAAGTTGAGGATGATTCCTGCATCAAGAGTGTTCTTTGTTGCAAACAGTGGATTTTATTTTGGCTCTTTTAACCAAAAAACTGATTAATTAGAAGATATTAATTTATAGAATTATTGGGATAGTCAAAGAAATACTTAAGACTAAGCTCCCAGGAATAATACTGTTTTAGCCAACTTTTTCATTACTATGACTACAAGACCTGACAAGAACAATGAAGAGGAGGAAAAGTTTATTTGGGGCTTATGGTTTCCAAGGTCTCAATCTATAGATAGCCAACTCTATAGCTATAGACTCAAGGTAAAGCAGGACATCATGGCGGAAGGCATAGCACAAGAAAGCCTCTCGGGACATGGCAATCAGGAAGCAGAGGGAGCTCTCCTCACCAGGGAATAGGAACCCCAAAGGCAGTGTCCCCCAGTGACTCACCTCCTCCAGCCACATCTAACCTGCCTACAATTACCACTTGACTAGTCTCCATAAGTGGATTAATCTACTGATTAAGTTACAACTCTCATAATCAAATCATTTTACCTCTGAACATCCTCTCATTGTCTTACACATGAGCTTTTGGGGGACATCACATTATCCAAACTATAACAAATAACTAAACATGCCACAGAATTGTTCAGATTAGAAATATGTCACTGGTATTTTCTATTTCAGTAAAAATGTCAACTGCTGCTATTGCTACTACTGAGTCCTGCAACTGGTTTTACTGCAACTGCAACTTCTACCAATATCATTTCTGTATCAGGTCTCAAGTGCCCCCATCCCTGAAAACTCTGACAATAAGAGTCTTATGCAGAGCTTGTTTATTCACATTGCTCACATCCAAATTTAGTTTTGCATGGTAATATTTTATTCACATGCCAGTATCCCAGCTGCAAAATAGACTGGAATTTGAGTTCTGATTCTACATGGGTGAGAAGGGATTACTCGTAATATGGGAATTTCCCCAAATATAAAAGATGTTCAGATGATGAATCACATATGAAAAATGTGTACATTTTGTCTTGGAGGACAGATAGCAGTGGCATTTTCAGAAATAAGGGATAAGAAAGGAAAGATAAAGTAAGAGAAAGGAAGGAAGGAAGGAAGGAAGGAAGGAAGGAAGGAGAAAAGTGGGTAAAGGTAAATCTTAGACATATGAATTTTCAGATGCTTGAGGGATATATATCCAGGTGGTCTATCCAATAGGTATTTGGTTATAAGGATTGTGTTCATCAGTTTTTCATCACTATAACAAAAGATCTAAGATAATCAATTTTAAAAAATAAAAGAAAGTTTTGGGATTTCCATTCATGGTTGTTCCTGTTGTTTTTGAGCCTGTGGCAAGGTAGCACATCATTGCAGGAGCACATGGCAGAGGAAGCTGCTCACCTCATAGCATCCAGGAAGCAAAAAAAGAAACAAGAAGAAGCCTGGATCCCAGTAGCCTCTTTGAGGACATGTCTCCAATGACCAGACTTCGTCCCACTAGGCTTGAACTTTCAAAGGTTCCACCACCTCCCAATAGCACCATGAGAGGGGGGACCAAAACTTTAACCCATGGGCTCTTAGGGGACATTTATCCAAACCATAGTAGGATCTAAAGTTCAAAAAATAAATTTGTGCCCTACAAACCTGCAGATCCCTTGTTTCATTGAAATTGCTCCGTTGTCATTTCTCCAAGAGGCTCTATTGAAAATTGCACTTTCACTTTGCTTTTTATCTCTCATAGTATTAGTACTAATATTATATTAAATATTTGCTCATTTGTGCATTATCTGTCTTTCTCACTCTGTCTAATCAGCTTTATGTGCATACATATGTGGTACTGTTTATGACAGTATATACATGTCCTAGAACCACATTTAGCACATTGTAGATGCCCAATAACTATGTATTGAAGGAAGAATGAAGTAATGGTAACTAAAACCTCAGGAATTAAGAGATAGCCTCCAGTCAGTGGGCACAGTGAACAACCAAGGTGCAAACTGGGAAACTAACATTCAGAAGCAGTCAGGTAAGCGGATCCCGCGAAGGAAACTTCAGAAGGAGTATGGATATGCAGATGGGTTAAGGAAGATGCCTGAAACACATCCTTTGAATTTAACCTAAAAAACTTTTCAGCATCATTACTTCAGAAAGAAGCAAAATTGCATCCTGCGGAGGAGTGACTGGGAGGTGAGACTCCAGATGCTCTGAGAGCAGCAACTCTTTTAAATTTAGGGAATTAAAGAATAATTCCCCCTTCTCCTTCTTCCCACAGAAAGTAACTCACACATTCTACCAATTAGAGATTACTTTGTGTTAAAGGACTGCTATTAAAATGCAAATATACCTTTTAAGAAGGGTAAGCTTCATTCACAGGATAATGGGAATTACTTCAATCAGCTTCACACCCAGCAGAGATAAACAACAGATAAACGCAGAACTTAGGATATTAGACTTTTGACTGTGGCCCAGTGGAAGGAAACAATTGGAGTTGGAGGTCAAGCCCTACAGGGAATTTTAGAGACCCTGAAGGCAGCATAACACAAGTACAGAGAAGTGCTATGAAAGAAAAAGTAGGCAGAAGTGAGTTCTGAAGAGAAAGTCAACTCTTTTTTTTTTAAGAAGCAAAGTGTTAGTATTTATTTTTTTAAACAAAGAAAAAGACCATCTCTCAGAAAAATGGGTGAAAGACATGAATAAGCAATTCATAGCCAAATTACAAATGGCCCCCAAACAAATGAACTTCATTAAAAATCAGGGAAATGCAGACCAATCCAGGGGTCAAGGCCCTCAGGGAGACCCTAATGGGATGGATGCACAGGAGAGACTGTGGCTGTCACCTTTCTGAATGAGACTCTGCTTGTGATGTACAAGATGAGTTTCCTTCTCCTCCTAGACAGGCCCTGCCCCTGCCCCAGGAGTGGGCGTGGGCTCTGGCTCCCTCTTTCCTTTGGGAATCTTTTTCCTTTTCCTTCCTCATTGCTGGCAGTCTGGGAGCTGAAGCAGGAGCCTCAGGAATTCCACAGATCTTGGACTGGAAAGAAAGTCAACTCTTGATTAAGAAAAAAATTTGCCCAGTGGTGCTATGACCCTGAAAATTCATTTTCTGCCAAACTGGGGTAACAAGTCCTTCCTTCCCTCCAGTCAGGGGCAGTCACCTCTGCTTAGTTTAGTTCAGAGCTTTCCCAGAGTTGGCTCCCCTTCTGAGTGCTGTCCTTCTCTTCTTGGAAGGCGGAAGGGAAGGAAAGAATACAGTGATGTGGAGAGAAATGGGGTTTTTTTTTGTTGTTGTTGTTGTTTGTTTGTTTGTTTTTGGTAGTGGGGATTGAACCCAAGGTTTGCTTAACCATCAGTGATTAAGCCACATACCCAGCCCTTTTTTGTTTTTTTATTTTGAGACAGGGTCTCACTAGGTTGCTTACAGCCACGCTAAGTTGCTGAGGCTGGCTTTAACCTTGGGATCCTCCTGCCTCAGCCTCCCTTGCTGCTGGGATTACAGGCCTACACTACAGTGCCCCACTGAGAAATGAGTTTTCCTAATGCTTCCATTGTTTTCTGTCTTTCACTGAGCTTCTTGAGAAGAAGAACAACATCTTATTCCTCACGTACCTCCATGATGGTCTGGCATGATGACTGAATGTTTATTAACAGTTGGATGAATACAAGAATGCAGTTATTAGTTAATTCTGGAGTTGGACTTTTCCATTTGTGGGTTCTTTAGAATGACCTGACTCAAACACATTGAGGACCTACAATATTTCTTTTGCTTCCCTTGCCGAAAAGAGCAATCAGGGAGCTACCATCTGATGATAATGCTCTCCTTTTTCCCTCTCCAGCAAATACAATTAAAGATTTTGGTGTATTTAAGCAATTCATTATCGAAATCTCTATTATTCATTTATGCTCATTTGGAGTAAGTTTTAGTTATAAGTCTTACTTAGTTATAAGACTCACAGACAATTTTTAAAAGTTCATTTTTATTTCTTCTGTACCATATCGAATCTGATTCTAAGTCCTTTCACCAACAATCTAGAAGATTCCAGGAGAGCCTTAAGAAATAGGTTCTTAGAGGTCTCCTTCAGGACTTCGTTCAAGTCTGCATGATCCCATGCAGGAATGCAGGCAGTAGTCTACCCCTTCCTGCAGTTCCCCATTAGGCTTATAGGGACATTTTCACCAAGGCTAGAAGCCCAGAAGACATTCTCCTGTGATGTCTTGCCATGTCCTCAGCGGCTGGAAAATAAAAAAGAGTTGTCAGGAAAGGAAGGTCAATGACCTTGAGTCATTTTCCACTGATAACTCACTAAGTCAAACTTCACTTCTCTAAACTCTTGGGAAAATGAAAGATTTCTATGAGAAACATTGACTGTAGCTATCTCTGCCTTCCCAGCTTTCATCTCCCAACAAAAGCAAGTCTCAAGCATCTTCACCATAGCCTTTGAGACATCTTAAGTCAGTACGCCAGATATATTTTACTTGCTTTCCAAATCCACATTCAAGCATTTTCTACCTTATTCTCTATCCCAATAAGCTGGCCTCTGTGGATCACATCAATGGGTCCTCATGCCTTTGGCTTTTAGCTGAGTTTTACCAATAGGGAGCTCTGGCAGGAAATGAAAGAAGGGTGAAGAATAGAGCAGATATGTATTTCCTAGATCCCTACTCAAAGCATCACCTGAAGTTGGCTATGCTTCTTGGTGAAGGTCAACTAATCTCAAGGGTCTGTACAAGTCTCTACCTCTGGACTCCAGACTACCTCCCTTCTCCCTTCAGATCAAGGGAATGGTAACATCTCAGCTTCTACTATACCCTGGGTTATTAACCCTCTGTGGTTACTCTCTACCTACACCTTCAAAAATAAGCCCTTTGTAAATAAACTTTCTCAGGTTTCCTTATATGGAGTATGTCGTTTGATTGCTGATTATTATGGTTTAGATATTAGGTGTCCCCCAAAATGTCATGTGTGAAACAATTCAAGAAAGCTTAGAGGTGAAATGATTGGATCATGAGTTTAACCTAATCAATGTGTTAATCCCCTGATAGGGATTAATGGATGGTAACTGTGTACAGTCAGGATGTAACTAAAGGAGGTGGGTCTCTGAAAATGTGCCTTTGGGGTTTATATTTTGTCCTTGTTGAGCAGAGCTCTCTCTGATTCCTAATCATGTCTTGAGCCAATTTTCTCCACTATATACTTCCGCCATGATGTTCTGCCTCATATCAGCCTGAGGGAATAGAGTCAGCCATCCATGGACTAAGACCTCTGAAACCATGAGCCGCTCAATAAATGTTTCCTCCTCTAATTGTTCTTGTTAGGTCTTTTGGTCACAGTGGTAAAAAAGCTGAGTAAAACACTGATGGAACTCTGACCAATATTCTTAAGTTGTGTCTATTCATGCTTTAAGTTTTTTTCTGTACAGAGTGAACTGTAACTTAATTTGATGTGTGAACAGAATATAATCTACCCTTATAATAAATAGCTGAGTCTTACCCAATAAGAAGTGACCAACTATTCAAATCATATTCAAATAAGACAAATGGGAGCTATATTTAATTGGGATCAGCTGGCACTCTCCCTCTGAGCTACAGAGACAAATTGGGCTGTCTCTATAGTTCACTTCCACTTTCTATATGTCACCTTCTTTTCTCTAGCTATAAATATGATGTGGTAGACAAGGGCATTCTTGACAATTTTTGTGTATGGATGGCTGCTTGATTCTAGAATCACAAATAAAGCCAACTAAGATCTACAAAACTAGATTTCTTACAATTTTGCTTCTTAGCAATACAGTCAGTGTGATCCAATAATTTATATTCTTTATTTGACTAGTAATATTATTTGATATCACTTTTTAAAGGATTTTCATGGTATTTATCCATGGATTTCAAATAACTATATATGTTTTTTAAATTCCTATATTTCCTAATTGAAAGAATACATTTTCAAAAAACATGAAATCATAACTCTCATACAAAATAAAATCAATATAGTATGTTAGCACCTCTGGATTCAATCCTCATTATCAAAAGAAGAAGAAGGAGGAGGAGGAGGAGGAGGAGGAGGAGGAGGAGGAGGAAAAAGAATCAAAATTATGAAACAGGCTTGGCAAAAGGGCTGACAGATACATACAAATATTTAAAAGGGCTTGGATTGATTTGCTCAGGTATCACCACGCTATAAACTGAAAAATCACATAAAGATCAAGATAATTTATCAGTCTCCCCTGGGGAAACCTTACCTGAGAAAATCAGCTGAAAGAAAAAAGGCTTAATTTGGTTTCAGTCCATGGTCAGTGGGCTCTGATGCTCTTAAGCCTCTGGTGAGGCAAAACATCATAGTGGAAAACACAAGGTAGAGCAAAGCTGCTCATCTCATAGCAGCCAAGAAACAAAAAGAGAAAGGGTCCAGGGTTTCAATATCCCCTTCAAGGCATGTCCCTAATGACCTAACTTCCTCTTCTGGGTCTCACCTTTCATAAATCCCAAAAGCATCATGGGCTCGGAGCCAAGCCTTCAACACTCAGACTTTTGGGGGACATTTAAGATCCAAACCACAACAATGTGTCAAAAACTTCTTCCTGGGGCTGGGGTTGTTGCTCAGTTGGTAGAACATTTGCCTTGCATGTGTGAGGCACTGGGTTTGATCCTCAGCACCACATAAAAACAAATAAATAAAATAAAGATATTGTGTTCATCTACAACTAAAAAACAATTTTAAAGAATCTTTTTCCATTAATATCTAACCCAATAAGGAGAATACCAATCATAGAGTACAAACAGTTCAAAAGAGAGCTCAGATCTCCTGTACGAGAAGAATTCTAAATAATTTACATAGATATTCCCCACTAAAGGAGGTAGATCTTAATTCCCCATGTCCTGGGTATGGGTTATGCTTGGTGATTTGCTTCCAAAGAGTAAAGCACTAGAGGGAAGGGACATGACTGTATAGTGGAGAAACCTGGCAAACTCTTCTCCATTCAGATGATCAGGATTACCATCGCCTGCAATAAGAGTTGACAGCTTGTACCCTTGATATGATGTGATAACAATGACACTTCACCTCTGTTCTCTTTCTCTAAAACCCCATAACTCTTTATTTAGGGGGAAATATCCAATTTGAATAGAGGGATATCCTGTAATATACCTGACCCATGTTTCTCAAAACCAGGAGCAAAGGTCATCAAAAACAACTAAACGCTGAGAAACTGTCACAACGTAGAGAAACACAATAACTACAGGTAATATGACATCCTGGGTGAGATCCAGAAAAGGAATTTAAGGGAAAACTAACAAAATCTGAATAAAGTATAAAGTCAAAGTCCTGAGTGCTCATTCTACAGTTGTGACAGATGTAACAGTAATTTGAAGTGTTAAAATTTGGTCTAAAGTTGGGAAACTAGGTGAGGGACATATGTACTAAGATTTGCAAACTTTCCTATAAATCCAAATCTATTATAAAATAAAAACCCAGGATCTGGCACATACTAGTCAAGTGCTCTACCACTGAGCTAAACTCCCAGCCTAAAAAAAAAAAAAAAAAAAAAAAGCCAGATTTCAAATAAGAGTGTGAAATCAAAAGTCCAAGACCAATGGTCCAAATCACACATATATATACATATGTTTATGTGCCAGACTCTGGATTTGATCCCCAGCAGTGCCAAAAAATAAAGAAAATAAATCTCTTTGTTTCCTTTTTCTACACAGTCTTAATACATGTGGCAAATGTCTAAAAGTAGAATTCACATGGACTTTTCACACTTTGGCTTGAGATACCCCTGGTAAAGAGTGATTATCTCTTGGTTAATGGGTTGGGTACCCCTCCACACAAAGTGAAATCTGCATGGGCCAAATCACATTACCTCAAATATTCCCTGTGATGTTGATGTGATATAATAACAGACAGAAACTTAATTTCACTTTTATAAATATAGTTTTGTTAGCATTATCTGATTAACCTTAATAGATAATTGTCCTGTATTCTTAAACTAAAATAATTTTTCTTTACGGATGTCTTCCAAAATTTCATTGTTTCACAAAATAATCCTTTGTAATTAAAGAATTGGGTATACAGAGATGAGAGTTAGATTTTGCAACTAGATAATCCTGCAAGATATATGATAAGCATTGACATTTTTCTCTGGCCATGGAAAGATATTAGGGATTGCATTTCTCTGTGGAAGGCCACAGGTCCTGTTAAGTTTCTTTCCTCTAGCTACAACTCTTGCTGGTTCCAGAAGAACACTGTTCCTTCTTCTTACCCCTTCAGAATGGAAAACACTTCCTGTTCTTTGCTACTCCTGGGTCTTTCACTATCCCTTGGTCATTTACCTTAACCTTTAACAAACCTGCTTAATGGTTCCTTCCTTCGTCTCTCTTTAGCCACCCCTTTGAACTATGCCATCTGTTTCCTCTCAGGATAGCTGCTTTGACACTTTCCCAAGTCAAAATTATTTCTGCTTGGAACCTAATTCTCATATGTATATTTTAGAGGACACAGAATTGCTTCTTCAGATATCCTTGAATCCATCCGCATGTGTGTAGAACTAGCATAGCTAGCTATTCATCCAAATGAAAGTTCTAATTTGGCCTTTCACTTTTCAATAAAAAGTATAACCTCACCATTTGCTCTTTTGATCTCTAGCCTATAGTGTCTTGGGTCAGTAATAAAGAATATCTATCCTGCAAGCTCTTGACAGGAACTAAACCTTGAATTGTCCCATTGTTCAACTCTTCTCAAAAAGCCCAGGTGAAATTTATTAGGATCGGGTGCAATATCCTAAGGCTATGCATTGATCTTTAGTAGAATGACTGTCAAGTCAGTACTTTGGGTCCATAATACCTCTGAGGTGTTTTAGGTTGTTTTAATGGATTCTGATTTTGTCAAGGGACAATTTAAGAAACTGCCTTAGAAACGCTAATATCACATTTGATATAGGAACATGGTGCACTATATTTTTTTTTACTGTTTCCAGCGGTTAGTACAGAAATTCAGTTTTTCTCACCCTTTTTGTTCTGACTCCATTCACAAAGCCACATTCTGATATTTTTGTTATTCTGCCTACACAAAAAATATGCTATTTATATAGGCTTCAAGCTTTTCTTATACTAAGTTAACTATAGAAGAAATATGCCAATCATGCCCTCTGTGAGAAATTCCACTCCATGTCATGGAAATTCTTCTTATTATCATAACTAAATTAGTATTCTGGGTCTACCCCAATCTCATGTGCATT